TTTTATTTCATGTCCACTTTTTATATTTACATACCTGTCCTATTTCTGAATATTGCATTTAGATCATATATAAAAATTATTTTTTATTAGATTATATATATATATATATATATATATATATATGTGTGTGTTTGTGTGTTTGTGTTTAAGTGTTGTTATGTTTTAAATATATATATATATATATTATATGTGGATGACAATATATATGTATTATATATATACTACATTTATATAAATATATATATATATATATATATATATATATATATATATATATATATATATATATATATATATATTTAATTTTTTCTGATTTACTTTATATTTATATTATACAACTGAAATATATATATATATATATATATATATATATATATATATATATATATTCTCATTTTCATTATGACTGACATCTCGAACATGAAACTTATATATATATATATATATATATATATATATATAAAGCTTTTTTCGCACACTCTCTTTTTAATGTCTCATTTTATATTTACAATATTTGTGCAAGCCAGCATTTATATATATGTGTGTGTATGTGTGTTTGTGTTTGTCTCTGTGCATATATATATATATATATATATATATATATATATATATATATTTAAATGTTTCTCATTAAAACATTTATGACTGAATCTAAGTTTAATATATATATATGTGTGTGTGTTTTTTGTCTGTGGCTGTGTTGTATGGGTCTCTATGTGTGTGTGTGTGTCGAATTGTAGGTTTTAAATGTTTTTGCTGTTTTTTTTTTTTTGTTTTTTGTTTTTTTGAATACTCAGAGAATTTCTAACGAAGTGCGAAATCAGAAATTGATATCGATTTTTGGTTGAGAATTTTCCAGAATACCATTCCATGCCCGACTCCCTCACCCTAACCACCAACCAACCATCCACAACCGAGCAACACATGGCTAGATACGCCGCCGCCGCCATTTTGGCTAGCCTTTCTTCTGAGTCGTTCATTTCGACTGTCAATACTACTTATGATGATGATGATAGAAGAAGAAGAAGAAGAAGAAGAAGAAGAAGAAAAGACGAGGAGATGGTAGGGAGGCGAAAAAGAAGGAGATGTTTGTAAATGATAGATAGATAGATATGAACAGTGTGATAGATAGATAGATAGATAGATATGAACAGTGTTATAAATAGATAAATAGATAGATAGATAGATAGATAGATACGAACAGTCTGTGATAGATAGATAGATAGATAGATAGATAGATAGATAGATAGATAGATAGATAGATATGAACAGTGTCATAAATAGATAGATAGATAGATAGATATGAACAGTCTGTGATAGATAGATAGATAGATAGATAGATAGATAGATAGATAGATAGATAGATAGATAGATAGATAGATATTAACAGTCTCATAGATAGATAGATAGATAGATAGATAGATAGATAGATAGATAGATAGATAGATTTCCTCTACTGGAAATTTTGGCTTCTCATTTTTTTTTACTATATATTTACAGCCTGAATGCTACAGTAAATGCCTCTCAACAACCTTCAAAATACCCAGAATTTCTATGGATCCTGGGTGGGGGCGGGCAGGGTAAAAAAAGAAGATAACTTGGTCTTTCTTCAATGTTTCATCAATTGACCTTTGACCGGTTCAGTAGACAAAAAAAATATAGCAAGATCATTTTGATTTCTATCAGGAGAATCGGTATTATCCTAACGCTGTCTCGCTGTAAATAGGCTGATATTTAAAATTTTGACACTTGCCTCGGAGTTCATTAAAGATCTTTAAACTGATATTTAAAATGAATTTTTTAAAACAAAAATATATAAAAAGGCGCGAAAATTTGATTCCCCCCCTCCTCCTCCGAAATCTCCGCTCCTGTCCCAGGATGTTGGTCGATATTTTTTCTTACTTACATATATAGTACTTTATCACGATCGCTACTGCTTGTCTTCCTTCTTTTGGATTTTATATTTTTTGTCTTTCTTTTTACTTATCCTGTGATCACAGTGGAATCAATATGTTTTTCATTTTCCTATAACAGACCCGCGCGCTCAATAAGCAGATTTTGTTTTTGTGTTATTGAGTACATCAAATTATTTACCCTTCCAAGAGAAGACCAGTGTTTTGTTCATTGTTTGGAAGCAGGCCTCAAACTCACCAGCGATTAGGTGTCTGTTCGTATTCTGTGTGATATTGAACAAAATGGTTTGTGAAATCGAAGAACACGTCACGTAATGTGATTAAGAAAAGACAGGTCGCGACTCATACGACGAACTAAGTAGGCGTTGTCAGATGCTGATGTGGATTCAGTCAGCGGACGTATCTACCAAGGCAAGAAGTAAAGTATACGGACACAGGTGAGCTGTTTGTTGGGAAGGACGAAGTAAAACAGATGCGGAAAACTGGGTAGTCATAAATCCGAAAACGCATAGAAATAACGAAATATACCAAGATCTAGACAAATTTACAAGGCCCAAGAGCTACACAAGGTAGAGGTTTACTGAAGGAGGTTGTTGTATGAACGTTAAGTGTAAGAGGTAAGGAATGCAGTTTATTTGGATATGTAGAAAAGAAAATAGCGATAGATGCTTTTGAACTGCATCAAGACTTTAAGACTGGGCAAATATGGCAGCAGCATTCCATTTTCGGTTTGGTCTGGCTCTTGTAAGCATAAGTACTTAATAAGAACCGTATTAAGCAGGAAATCCTGACCAATTTTTTTATCGTGATCGTTTTTTAATTAATACTTCAGTGCTTACGATAAAATAATCAGAATTTTTTTTACCAATGTTCATGCTATGAACGAAGAACTAAGAACCTCTCAAGGTAGAAGGCTACTGAAGGAATTTGTTGTATGAAAGGTAAGATTAAGAGGTAAGAAGTACAGCTTATTTGGATATATAGATAACAGTTAAGCCTAGACTTGAAGAGATTAAGTATGTTGTGACCAGAAGAGCATCTCCGCAGGAGTCTGATCCACAAAATAACTTTTCTTGGGAAGCTTCAGAGGTGCCGCTGAAGTAACATTTTTTTAATGAGTGAATTTTTCAACAAAATTGTTCATTTTTAAGCATTTGTTATTAAAATAAAGCTATTTTAGTGAAAGAAAAATAAGAAAATGTGTTGAAGTCAGCTAATGTTGGCCTTAGAAAATGCTCTAATACCTATTTCATATAGCCTTAAATTTCTCCTGCAATTAGTCAAATTTCAAAATTTTCTTGGAGGCTTACATTATTCGGACTATTGTTGTCATCTTTGTCGCCATATTTATCACCCTTCAGTATCTGTCTATATTTCTGAGATGAGGTATTATGTACATTATTTACATTACTCGGACTATTGTCTTCATCTTTGTCACCATATTTATCACAACGTTTCTGCCGTTGTACAACCCGGCCTTTTTCAGGTAGTTGGAATGTCGAACTGAAACCTTTATTTCGCTCACTGGGGTAGACTGTTCTAGTTCCACGTGCCATGTCTAATGGATGTCACTTATCAGTTATCGCTTGTTAATTTCCCTCTCCAAGTTCTCAACCGCCTTAAACAGGTATTGAACTCACACCCTTTGGGTCCTGTCACTGGATATAACTAACGCCTTTATCCACTGTGCTATGTGTCCTCAAGGACACATGGTACAGTGGATAAACGTTGTAATAAATATGGCGACAAAGATGAGGACAATACTGTATTAAATGACCAATAAAAGATGAGGACAATAGTGTATTAAATGACCAATAAATGTTCTATTTAAAGATCTCTTAAATGATCTACAAATTGCATTGTTTAAACAGGTTTTGTTAAATGCGACCGACAATGTTTGTCAGTTTAATTCTTTATTCAATTTTTGCAATTTTCGAATAAAACTTTATATATCGGGATCAAAATTGTGGATAAACGAAGTTCATGATTTCTTCGGATTAGTTCAAGTGCTTTCTACAGTCTCGTTCATTATCAAGAAATGGGTGTTGTCAGTGGATACATCGTTATATTTGAACCGATTCAAATTACAGAATTGAAAAAATGAAGTAATGCATATTATCAGGGTTAAAATCATTTTTGTATACATATTTCTGCAAAGCTAATGAAACCACTGTCTATAACACTACAAGTACTAATAGAAAATAAAGGCGGCTACACCAAATATTGATTTTATATATTTATTCTTTTCTTTTCATACGAGTGAACTCATTTTTCGAGAGTATCATATTAATATTTTCGGCAAGAGATTTTCAATAGAATTTCATCATAAATAATACATCATAATATCGGATTTGATTGCACAATTCTTGCACTGGAAGGGAATCAAATATTTTGATATTTTCAGCTGAGAAGCGAAATAACTTCAGCAGTAGCGGTGGAGATATTTATGGTTTAGGGTGTAGATAGATAGATAGATAGATAGATAGATAGATAGATAGATAGATAGATAGATAGATAAATATTATAGATAGATAGATAGATAGATAGATAGATAGATAGATAGATAGACTATTATAGATAGATCAGACTATGATAGATAGATAGATAGATAGATAGATCAGACTATTATAGATAGATAGATAGATAGATAGATAGATAGATAGATAGATAGATCAGACTATGATAGATAGATAGATAGATAGATAGATCAGACTATTATAGATAGATAGATAGATAGATAGATAGATAGATAGATAGATATGATAGATAGATAGATAGATAGATAGATAGACTATATTTCATAGATAGATAGATAGATAGATAGATAGATAAAACACTCTCATAGATAGATAGATAGATAGATAGATAGATAGATAGAACAGACTGTCATAGATAGATAGATAGATAGATAAAATAGACTCTTATAGATAGATAGATAAAACAGACTCAGATAGATAGATAGATAGATAGATAGATCAGACTATTATAGATAGATAGATAGATAGATAGATAGATAGATAGATAGATAGATAGATAGATAGATAGATAAAACACTCTCATAGATAGATAGATAGATAGAACAGACTGTCATAGATAGATAGATAGATAGATAGATAGATAGATAGATAGATAGATCAGACTATTATAGATAGATAGATAGATAGATAGATAGATAGATAGATAGATAGATAGATAGATAAAACAGACTGTCATAGATAGATAGATAGATAGATAGATACATAGATACATAGATAGATAGATACATATTAACAGACATAGATTGTGTTTGAAAGTGCGAGCTAAATAATAATGCTGTGATAAATAAGAAGGAATTCAAATAGATTGTAAGCGATTAACAAAAGTGAATGTAAATATCGTCAACATCCAAATATTTCTAATTGCAAAATAGAATCTGCGTATGAGTTCAATATTTCTGTAATTATTTTGACAAGTGAGGAGAAGAGTTTTTCAAAAATGTCGGCACATAATAATCTGTAGAGGATCAGAGATTTTAAAATGAGATTGCTTCTTCAAATTTGGTTTCATTCCAAACTTGCAAGAATTTTTTTTGGTCGACTTGAAGAAAGTCTTTTTAAGATTGCATCTTTCACGAAGTCCTGAAAATCGCTCAATCAGGTACTTGTAAAATCTCCACTTGAGAGACAGGCACTGAACAACTCGCTCCAAGTTTTGATGGCAAGTTTAAACAGAGAAGCAGCGGTCGTTCTGTTGCCGAGCGACCTTAGCTTGTTACAGACGCGATGTCGAAGATATCTGAGTTGAAGCCAAAAGACGGGTACTGAGCCAAGAATTCTTCAACGGTTATTGTTCTAGAATTTTTGTCGACAATGTGTGCTTGGGTAGGGGAGAAGAACAGTAATTAGGAGTATCGTCCCAAATCGCGTTGAGAGGGGGAAAGGGAAACCAAAAATAAATGGCGCCAAAAAGAGGAGATGGAAGAAAATATTATGTAAGCTGTACACATGACAAAGACAGTGTATAAATGACGAAAATGGAAGGAACAACGAGAAAGAGAGAGAGCGTGTGTAGAGATGAAAGGTTAAACATTATATAATATATATATATATATATATATATATATATATATATATATATATATATATATATTTAATGTCAAAATATATAATAATATATAAGTGAAATACATTGAAAAAATTAATTCAGAAAAAATACAGTATTGGACTTCAATGTTTAATTTATATTTAATACAATAAAATCTCTGATATTGAAGACTTTATCCTATAATTATAGAATACCTTTTTAACTATAAAATCTTTATATATATATATAAATATATATATATATATATATATATATATATATATAATAAAAATAACGATATATGAATTTTTATACACCAAGGGCAATTTTGTATATATATATATATATATATATATATATATATATATATGAAGAAATATAAATAAAGTAAAATTAAGGTATGCTATATTTATGGGATAAAAGTGCTCAATATCAGAGATAGAGCATAGTATTATAAAAGTGAACATTGAAGTCAACACTTAGAGGCGACAGGTTGTTTCATCGTTAGAACAAATCGTATAGACAATTTGACTTTTACACACACACATCACATATATATATATATATATATATATATATATATATATATATGTGTGTGTTGTGTGTGTGTGTGTGTGTGTGTGTTGGTCACACCCCAAACACATTTTCACTTGACTCAACATTTAATTGATAACTCTAACATTTTTAGACATTTAAATCAACATGCCTGGCCGCGTACACAATTCCGGAAAATCCTTGTTGAAAACACAACTATACTTAAACATGAAAACAATAAACAAAATTAAAATTTCTTAAAGCTTTATACATAAAATAGTTGAAACCTAACCTGAACAAAATAAACTATGAAGTCTCCACAAATATCCTTAAATGCCTATAATTTATAACAGAAGCCATTGGTTTATACCAACAGCTTCCCATACTTAATACTCTCGCTTTTCACTCTCACGTGGTCATGTGTGACGTCATGAGCTGCGACGCGATTTTCGCTTCCGCGTCTCGTATATACGAGTTTGTCGTTACTTGGAAATTTTCATGCAGCAAGGACGGACTATCATTGTTGTTTCGTCCGAGTGTTGTTTGATTTATTGAAATTGTCATCTTTGATAATGGCTTATGTAAGCCGAAATCTTCGATTGGATTTAAACATGTATCAATATGGCGTTTTCCTTTCGTCTTTCAACGATAATGTGATTCAGCTTATCAGACAATATGAAAGGAATTCACTTAAAATAAATAGACAAAACTTGTCTATATTATTTAATGAAACAATACACTCTGAGTATAATTGTTAGATAGATAGATCGGAGAAGACTTATAGATAGATAGATAGATAGATAGATAGATAGATAGATAGATAGATATGAAGAGACTGAGATAAATACGGGGAAAGCAAAAGCGTTGGTATATACAGGCTATAATAAACAATTAAAAGTAGAGATTAACAAAGGGATACTTGAACTAAGATACAGGCATGAAACAGTTGCACTATAAATATGTGTAGAATCAAAATTTTAAGAAAATGCATTACAGATGACTTTACAAGATAACACGGTGAAAACAAAAAAAAACGCTTCTTCTTAAAAGTGTACTGATATACTGAGTCCTGAATCATTCTGAAATGCCTGAAACGATTTCAACCGAGACTCTTGGATGATTAGAGTACAGTTCCGAGTTTCAAATAAGGAATATTTGGAGATTGAAAATAATTAGTAGTGTAAAGATCGAAATTTTGGTTTCAAAAGAAAATTCCTAACCTTCATCTTGCAATTGATTCTTCTCCAGAAATTCTTAGAATTTGAATGTTAATAAAAAATTTATCTGCGATTTTCTGTGTGAAGAGTGACACTTACCTGAAACAAAATAAAAACAGAAAAATTAGACATTGAGAAAATAATAAAAATAGATAGATAGATAGATAGATAGATATGAACAGAGTGAGATAGATAGATATATAGATAGATAGATAGATAGATAGATAGATAGATAGATAGATAGATATGAACAGAGTGAGATAGATAGATAGATAGATAGTTATGAACAGAGTGAGATAGATAGATAGATAGATAGATAGATAGATAGATAGATAGATAGATAGATATGAACAGAGTGAGATAGATAGATAGATAGATAGATAGATAGATAGATAGATAGATATTCGTCATCGCTTTAGTTTTTTTTTTTTTTACCCCGCCTCCAGTGCGTGTATAATGTTGTACCCCCACCACCCCACCCCACACTTTTGCTGTCTGTCTGTCTCTCTCTATTTTCTTACATCATCCCGCGTACAGAGATAAATTCTCAGGCGTGGGGAAACGCGACAGATGTAAACAAGAGTTCTCGGGTGGGGGGAGGGTGGTTTCAGGTTGTGCTGGGCGCCGGCTGCATACGTCACAGTATTATGTAGGTTAAACCAACAAAATTGCGTACAAAAACACATGCACCTATAAACATGCATGTTAGTATTATTATTATTATTATTATTATTATTATTATAAAATATGTGGGCAGACGCAAATGCCTAGATAAGCAGAACTCTGATTTAAAAGTTGCACAGCTACCCGCGTCCAATTGAGTGCATCAAAAGTGGTTGATACAAGGTGGGAAGACATCCGTAATATTTATTCTGAACACTCTATTCGGGTACGTGTATTCATAATCGAATTATCCTCTTATCAGATCAGTTTTGTGAACTGAATTATCTCCCTTAATACCTTGACAAATCATTTTTCCCGGCAACGTTTTTTTTTTTTTTTTTAGTCTATTATAGATATTATATTGTACGATGTAATATTAAATTTGTAAATAAGAATCAGCAAAAAAAAAAAATGTTTATTTCCTTTTACTCAGTTTCTTACGCACAAAAAATAACCCCAGATTAAAATGCAATAACTTGAATCCTAGAAATATTTTCTGGATGAAACCCTTAAAAAAATCCCGAAATATACACAGCAAACACCCATAATTTAATAGATAGCATCGTTAAACAACAATGCTGTAAATATACCTATATTGCTAAAGTCGCCGCTTGGAAGGGAAGAATAATTTCTCACCTGTTATAAATCCAAGAATTTTCTTCTTTTTTTAATTTATAAACATAATTTTCATTTTAATTTTATTCCTCAAAAATAGCTAAAACTCTGAAATTGTTTATTGCTAGCGATCTTTTGCGATAACAGTGCTACGGAGGGTAAGAAGTTCATGATGGACTTGTTCATTTTGTAAAATATAACAAAATAATTACGTATTTTTGGTTCAGCACCAAATCTAAAGTTATTTTACGAAAAAACGACGCCGATAAACGGAATAATCCATTTCAGGCTTAAATACTCGCGATAATCCGATCGTGGGTTAAATACCCAGGATAATCCTTTAAGGAGTTCATGTTAACTTCTTTCACACTTGAGTGGTGGAGAAAAGCCTAAAAGTACAATGAAAAAAAAAACGATGAAATTATTTAAATCAGTAGAAAAATCTGACTTTATTTAGACCTCCAACGCTCTTTCAATCGGAAGGAATGTGACTTTATTTAGACCTCCAAATATCTTTCAATCTGAAGGAATCTGACGTTATTTAGACCTCCAACTATCTTTCAACTTGAAGAAATCTGACGTTATTTAGACCTCCAACGACCTTTCAACTTGAAGAAATCTGACGTTATTTAGACCTCCAACAATCTTTCAATCTGAAGGAATCTGACGTTATTTAAGCCTCCAACGACCTTTCAACTTGAAGAAATCTGACGTTATTTAGACCTCCAACGACCGTTCAACTTGAAGAAATCTGACGTTATTTAGACCTCCAACGACCTTTCAACTTGAAGAAATCTGACGTTATTTAGACCTCCAACGATCTTTCAGTCTGAAGGAATCTGACGTTATTTAGACCTCCAACGCTCTTTCAATCTGTAGGAATCAAAGACTAAACAAACTCAACACTAAATGTTTCTTAAACCGTAACCCTTGGCTATACCATTCCTATCTTTAACCTTAATTCTAACACTAAAGCAAGCCTCATTGATGAACAAAGCTAACACAAAACTAAAAGTAATATTTAGGGTGGAACTTGACAAGAGAATCTTTTTCTCAGTTTTGCAACCACTCACTGATGTTATCAGTATCCCTTAATTAGTTCTAATTAGTCTTAAGACATGAGATTAACATATAGTAAAAATTAATTAGCGCTCAATTAAACATTGTTTTTAGAAGAAACTTCTGATTGGGCAAAGATTTTTCACAAATTCACAAATATATCAGAAAATGTAAACAAACTCCATTTCTTTAACCGGCTCATAATTGTATATCTTTTAAGAATAAATCCTGATTCTTATTTTAGGTCCTGCACTTCTTCAGGATGTGGGTGATCATGGTTCTTCACAGCTTCCGACTCTTTCTAATTTCAAAGCAATGTCTCTTCCCTTTCTATCTCCCCCTGTCCTTGTTCTACCATCCACTTACACAAGCTCGTTAGATGGCTTAGTCGATGTTTCCCCCTCTTGCCTTCAATATACCTTGCGAGTGTCTAATTCTCCAAATATTCTTTCCTCATTATGTGTCCTAGTAATTTTAAAACATAACATTTCCACGTCGAAAGAGGGAAACATACAATACACAAAAAACTATGGAAGGACCTGAAATATTAAAGCCTGGGTTAAAAAACGAACAGAACCAAAGTAAGGGGGACCATATGTGATTGTAATGGAGATGCTACCAAGAGAAAAAAATTTTGACAGTCAAAATAAAATTCAAATCAAAATAAAAACCTTAGCTGGATTGTTGTCAAGCTCGAAGATCAAAAATCAAATCTTCGGTCCCGTTGAGTATATATGATGGACTCCTCTCTCACCTTTTCACCGACCGGGAGCTTAACCCCCACATTGCGTCTCTATTCTCATTTGCGTCGATGCTCACAAAACCGGGAAAAGGCCCGCTGCACGCTCACAAGGAAACGGATGAAATAAAAACTCGATCTCAGGTGTTTATTTCAGGGATTCACTTGCACAATCTGGGTGGATAGGAAGATGACACTTGGGACAACTTCCGCCATGCCAGTCTAACTAACAGCTTTTTCCTTCAACCAGCAAGAACTTCAGCTGTCTCCGACCAACCTCTACAACACGACGCGCGACTGGAAGAACAGTCTGTCCCCGCCCAAAAGGCGGCTCAGAACTACCTTCAACCCCAAATGCCACTGTTAATATAGTCCCGCGACTGAAAATCCCCAACGTCCGGTTTGTTGTCATTTGATCCCCAAAGTTTTAATTTATCTATTTACTATTTCATTCCCTTTTGGTTAAGTGAGTAACTGCTTTTGAAGATCTCATTTCACAGACATTATCGCTGGTCATAAAAACACAAATCACTTGAGACTGAGTTAAAAGAATTTACCACTCTCTTTTATGTGTGTATGTCAGAGTGTCACATCGTAGAATCAAGTCAGACATTAAAATACCTACATTGATTAAGTGATAAGTCCAGTATGTTGAAAAGGTCATTTCTGACTCTGTAGACAAGTGGTTCAGTTTAACGCCTAACAAGAAGTTATTTAGGGAAGGCATAAACTTCAAAACTCCTCCAAGCACTTAGACGCCAAGATCGGATACGGAGTTCTGTTGCTCGCAAGTTTGGTCCATGGTATTTTCAGCATTCTTCTGTAGAACCACATTTCTGTTGTTTCAAGTCTCTTCTTCAATTTGAGGAAATTGTCCAGCATTCATGGCCATATAGGAGGACAGATATTGCATAACAGTTCAGTGCATTTTCTTTTTTTCTAATGAAGCTTCTTACTACTCTGTTTTGCTTTCAGTGCAGAAACTTCCTTCCTTTCTTAAAACCCTATCGAAATATTTAAATTGTTATGCATGTTTGACTTTGATATCCAGTTTGTAATTTGTATGTTTGGCTGCTACTTTAATTAACACCCATGCATTGTCTTCTGGCAATTGATAGTTAGTCCTTTCTTCTTGCTTCCCTTCACTACCTTTTGTATAGTTTCCTTTCTGCGTCTGCTATCAAAACTGTGAGATCTGCATGTTTTATGCTGTTAAGATTGTGGTCACCAATAATAAATCCTGGTAGGACTTCTAGTTCTGTATCTGTCTCTATTTCTGAGTTGAGGTATTTTGTACACGATTTACATTATTCGGACTATTGTCCTTATCTTTGTTGCCATATTTATTACAACGTTTCAGCCGTTGTACTCTCCAACCTTCCTCAGGTCGTTGGAATGTCGAACTGAACCCTTTATTTCGTTCACTGAGGCAGACTGTTCTAGTTCCACGAGTTCCATTTCTAATGGATGTCAGTTATCAGTTATCTCCTGTTAATTCACCTCTCCAAGTTCTCCACTTCCTTAACAGGTATTGTTCTCACAACTCTTTGGGTCACTGGATCTAACCAGCGCCTTTATTCACTGTGCCATGTGTCCTTAAGGACATCTGTATATGAATTTCTGAGACTTATAAAATTAATGTCTTCAGCAACCATTTTTTTACCAGTGATCATATTTTTGCTGTTATCTGAAGAAGGCAGGAGCGTACAACGGCCGAAATATTGTGGTAAATATTGAATCTACATCTCTTTCGATCCTGTCACTGGATCTAACCAACGCCTTTATCCACTGTGCCATTAAGTTTAACATATTCAATGGAACTAGAACAGTCTATCTCAGCAAGCGAAATAAAGGGTGAAACGTTGTGACTTCTTATTCTCTCAGAATCGCCTCACTGTAAAGATTGAATAAGTCCAGTGAGAAGACCCATCCTTGTCTTACATCCCTTTCTGTTTTGTATATTTACCGAATATTTAAATTGTTGTACTTGTTTGAGTTTTGTATCCCTAGTTTCTAACTTGTATTTTGATCTGTTCCTTTAATTAACACCCACGCATTCTGTCTTGCTGTTGGTTTGGTTTGGTTATATAATGGGTTATATAATTCAGACAATTTTTATTGTTGGTACTAATTTTTTTTTTAAATGTGTTGCTAGTAATATTTTTTTTCATAAGTGTATTTTAATTCAAAAATTTATTGCTGGTAATGATATTTTGACAAAGTATTCTTGGTATTAAAACCTATTTTTACACTTTTATAGCGCTTCGATACCAGTGCGGGATCTGGGTATCTGCTCTTTAGTACTTTATTCGTCCTTGTTGGAGTCTGTTACAAATTGTCAATACATACCCAGTCGTGTATGTTTCCCGACTTAGTATATATAACAGTGATTCTTCGTTTTTGATGTGTGTGTGTGTGTGTCCTAAACGGAGTCTGGTTAGGATAACATCACACTCTTATCTTTCTGCAGCTCGGATGTCATCCCTATTGTGATCGAAGATAACAAATAGTCGAATTTAAGAAAGATCGGCTTGAAGATATCCTTTCCAGGGGAGCGGCCTCCTCTTCTCTGATCAGAGATATTAAAATTGGAGAATAACCAACAGCGTTTTGCCAGAGGCATTTTCCCACTCCAAGAAAGTTAAAATTTCGCATTAACAAGTAAAGTCAAAAAATGATGGCCATAATTTAGTCATTTCGCAAATGCACTGGTCACATTTTCTACCTGACTAAAATGTTTAAAAGTAAAAACATCAAAAAAGACTATAAAAAAAACGAGAAATAAAAAGTAATATAATAATAATTTCTTTACACTATTTACATTATTCGGACTATTCTCCTCATCTTTGTCGCCATATTTATTACAACGTTTCGGCCCTTCAGTATCTGTCTATATTTCTGTGATGAGGTATTATGGACACTCTTTACATTATTCGGACTATTGTCCTCATCTTTGTCGCCATATTTATTACAACGTTTCGACCCTTCAGTATGTGTCTATATTTCTGAGATGAGGTATTATGTATACTATTTACATTATTCGGACTATTGTCCTCATCTTTGTTGCCACATTTATTACAGCGTTTGGGCCTTTCAGTATCTGTCTATATTTCTGAGATGAGGTATCATGTACACTATTTACATTATTCGGACTATTTTCGTCATCTTTGTTGCCATATTTATCACAAAGTTTTGGCCGTTGGACACTCCGGCCTTCTTCAGGTGGTTGGAATGTCGAACTGAACCCTTTATTTCGCTCGCTGGGGTAGATTGTTGTAGTTCCACGTGCCATGTCTAATAGATGTCAGTTATCAGTTATCTCTTGTTAATTCCCTTCTCCAAGTCCACTGTGCCATTATGGACACATGGCACTGTGGATAAAGGCGTTAGTTAGATCCAGTCACAGGACCCAAATAGTGTGAGTTCTATACCTGGTTAAGGCATTGTTACGGTGACTCAAAACACGCACGCTCATAGGTCTCGAGTAATGACATGCTACTGGGATAACGGAATATCTTATTTTCTGAAGTAGGAGAGATGAGCCTGTGTGACCGATAATATATAAAGTCCATATTTTATATAGTATTGCCAAATATCGTCACAACTAGAAAGTAATTTGTTGTTATCATTAGATTTATTCATTTATTGATTAGATGGCTGGAGGTATAACCGGTTGGAGGTATGACCGGTTGGAGGTATGACCGGTTGGAGGTATAACCAGTTGGAGGTATGACCGGTTGGAGGTATGACCGGTTGGAAGTATGACCTGTTGAGAAGCAGACAACAGATGGGAAAATGAAATTTTTAAAAATTCACTTGGTGCAGTATTTGCATGTCTGAGAGAGATAGGGAAAGAAGAAAAATGTAAGAAAGTAAGAGAGTGAAAGAAGGAGAGTGAAAGAAAGAGAGAAGAGAAAAGGAAGAAAGAAAGAAAGTGAAGCTTATTCTACTAGTACGGTTTTTTATGAATAATTTTTTTGTGAATAACAAATATCCTTTTTGTTAATTCATGCATCATGCAAACTAAACATTTTTCTTTAATGTCAATGTCCTTGACAAATTAATGACGACCCTTTGGACTATAACATTAACGCCTATCTAAAATATTATCTACTTCCGTTATTCTCAGATTCGTTTAAGCATCAAAAGTCTTTTAAACACCTTTAGCCACCTTTAAAATATCGAACTTGTAAGTTAGTGATTGACATCTTTCCATAGCAGAAACGCTGTTTGTTAAGCTTAACATAAAGTCAGAGTGGGTTATTTCTTCGTACATAATATCCCCACACACCCTCACGTTTATTGTCAGGGGTCTTGGAATTCACCTCGAAATTGCCTGTCTTTTACAATCTGAAACTTACGTTTTAATTCTAATGTTACAGGTGAATCGAAATTCTTATGACCGCATATATATCTGAGATAGTGGCCATGTTCGAATGAAACATTTTGGAAATATGTTTTTTTAAACCCTAAAATATGGATTGATTTCACTGTTTTATAAACTTCCCCTTTTTAAAATGGATGCCCCCGAAGATTCACATATAAATTAACGCAGGCGTACAAGATCTCGCATGAACGCGAATTCCCCTTACACAACTCACGTTCGTAGGTGAGAAAAGATATTCTAGGTGAAAGAAAAGAAAAAGATGTAAGGGGCAAAAGACACACACTGAATTCTCTGTCTGCTCGCCTGCCCGTGTGTCTTCGTGTCTGACTCACAAAAACTTGGAACCACCTCAGGAGGACTGGGGTGTACAGAGCGGGAGTCAATGGGGTAGAGAGAAAAGAAATGAGGGAGGGGTGATTGATAGTGGTAGTAATGACAAAGTCGAAAACTGGCAGCTATAAGTGACGTCACTTCACGCGAGTGTGTAACACAATATTTAGCCATGTTTATGAATGTGTTTTTCATATGCGGACGTTACAGATGCAAGGAGTATGCAAATAAACATGGACACAGACATATAATTTCCTCCATACACAAGTCTGTGTCTACATAGCTACACAACATATACATCAATAAGTGCATATGATCATTCGTTTGCGTGATTTTTTTGTATGCGTACATGAAAAAATATATATATATATATATATATATATATATATATATATATATATATTATGAAATGGTCAAAGTACGACAGTTATTTTAACGTATTATAGAATAACGTATAAACATAAAAAATATCTTAAAAATATATATTACTGTAAGTCTTTTTTTTAAACTGGGTAAATGAAAAAAAACTTGATAGAAAAATTTTCAAATAAATTGGCATCCGGGGAAAAATGGATAAAAAAAATGAAATCACCAGAAACCTTCGAACAGGACGAAAGAAATCGACGAGTACCTTAAATCTCTGGTAAAAAGAAAAGCAAAAAAAAAACGAGTTATAAATTAAAATGAAGAGTGCTCAATACGCTAAGTAGAGCAAAAGTAAAATAAATAAATCCTAACGAGCCAGATATTACCTATCTAGGTTTTACCACATGGGATCATCAGTTCACCCACATGATCTCATGTGGTGAAACCTCAGTAGGTAGTACCTGGCTCATTATGATTTATTTATCATATATATATATATATATATATATATATATATATATATATTGTTTGTAATGTGTCTAATTTTAGTTGACATATCTATGTATCTAACACACTTTAACGTGTATAACACACTTAATGAAAGTGGCTATACTGTGTATATATCTATACCTGCCTAGGTAAAATCACGGCTTAACTTTTGGTCGGATATATATTATGAATATTTCCACGTCAATATGAATGTGTTTATAGCTGTACAGAGGTGGAAGTTGTGTTTCATTTATATTTTGTATACATAGGTATAAATATATGTAACTTCTATATATGTGCGTTCATGTGTTCCCTATGAAATTTAATTTCAACTGCATGGATATTAGTTTGTGACCCTGGGCTACCCAAAAGCGTGAAACACAGGGTCACAAACTCATATCCATACAACTGAATATATTAGCTCTATCACTGATATTGAGCACTAGTTCCCAGTAACCGTTACCCATGACGGCACCGTTGATCATTTTAATCGTTCAGCTTTCCAAGGAATGCAAGAATATAAGCAAAGAAACTCTATCAGACATGGTTCTTGAAAATGACTGAAAATGGATGGAACTACTTGAACACAATATTAACTTTTAATCAAACTTGTTTGAATGAATACTGGCTGCCTAAATATACCGTATTCATATATATATATATATATATATATATATATATATATATATATATATATATATATATAAGTATGTGTCATTTGCAACAGAAGATTACATGCGTCTATGCAAGAGTACCTGTGTTTATGCGTTGCACACAAGTGGACTTCATCGGATAAATGTATTTGCGTGTCTGCAGGTTGCATGTGTACACACGTGTGTGTACATGTGTGTGTACACATGTGTGTGTAGATATGTGCACAGCGTTTGTATTGCAATCAATGTGCTCATTCTAAAATATCAATTTCATTTGGCATGTGCATACATGTGCAGTAAGAATCATATGCAATTGTTTTTATGCATACACGCAAGTTTCTGAATTATATATGAGCATGCAATTTAAATTCTCTTTGTGAGAATTATTCCTCTCTGTCTATATATATATATATATATTCATATATATATATATATATATATATATATATATATATATATATATATATAATATATATCTGAATATATATATATGCGTGTGTGTGTGTGAATATTATTAACTGCGTGTCTGCTTGCGTATTTTCTGTTCTAGACTGGAGAATGTGTGACTCGTATAGTAGTCGGAATGTGTGTTCGTCTGTATGTCTATGTTTGTGTTTCCTATAATACTACAATATATATATATATATATATATATATATATATCGTTATTTGTGCGTGCGCCTTTGCGCACGCGCATACAATAGAATTATTAATGGGGCTTGTGTTGTGTCTTGTGCGCATTCACAGCTGCATCTGCGTGCCGAATTTGTTTACATCTTTTAAGCTTGTGCGACCTTCACCTTCACATAACAACCGACCCCCCACCACCACTCGCATAAAACTTCTTCAACAACATCCCTCTCTTCCCCCCCCCACCATTACCCTATCAATCCTGCCACTCCAGTTCCTCCTACTGTCATCATTAACAGTCCCATCGTCATTCTCCTCATCCTTCTATCAAAATCGACCTATCTAGATATCTACCTCACCTCTTTGAAACACCAAGGTAAGACGTCTTTAATGAGAAGAGAGATGAATAAAAACAAAAGCTACCCCTTATACACCCTGATGCCGGTTCTACGACGAAGGTCTAAGAGCATAAAGACGGGTGTAATAAAGGGTCGAGGTTCGGGCAGGGTATCAGTTTTTACGAAGGGTGAGTCGGTCTGAAAGGCGGGAACTTGAAGGGAAACTGGGGTAAAAAATGGAGGAAGGTGACGGGTTGAGTGTCGAAAGATGATGACTCGCCCGTGTGGAATCGGCGTGTAAACATGGTCGCCCTACAACTTGCTAGGTCCGACTCACAAAGTCACTCTCAAGCTTCAAGGTCCCACTCACCCAGGGGCAGACCCCGCTTATTCGCATACTTGCATCCGTTCTGCTAACTCGCACATTTATACTCGGCGTATACGCATTCGGACACACACATACACACACACCCACACCCACACGCACACATACAAATGCACATACACACCTACTCACGCACATATACACACATACACGCATACACATATATACACACACATACATATACACATGCACATACACATACGCACATATACATACAAGCATACACACACATATACACAGACATACATATACACATGCACATACACACATATACACACACATACACACACTCAAGTACATATACACACACATACACGCATACGCCCATATACACACACATACACATACATATACTCATGCACATGCACACATATACACATAGGCACACACATACGCACATATACATATACATACAAGCATACAGACATACACACACATATGCACACATATACACATACATATACACATGTACATACACACACACATACGCACATATACACACACATACACGCATACACACATATACACATGCACATACACACATATACACACACATGCACACACATACGCGCATACACATACAAGCATACACACATATGCACACACATATACACACGCATACACATACATATACACATGCACATACACACACATATATACACGCATATACACATACACACAAATACAAACACGTGTACACACACATACAAACGCATACTCACAAGCATATACTCACACACACACACACACACACAGAGAGAGAGAGGCCTGTCGCCAGGAGTATTTTGAGTCGAGGGCGGCGGCCTTTATGTCAAGGTGCCGCGTTAAGAATATGCACACTAAAATTAGCTTACATCATTTTCACAATTGAGGAGGGGGGGAATTATTTTCGGGGAGTAACTCTCCCGTAACCCAACTCTGTCGACGAACCTGCAAACACACAAGAAATCGCTAAATTCTAATCAAGGAGTCTTTACAATCTTTCATATTTCAGGAGATGAAAAATTGCCTAAGAAAAAATAATAATACTCGAAAACACATGATTTTGTTTGCTTCAAGTTTTTAACATTTGGATAGTATTAGTAGCAGCAGTAATTAAATATTCTTCCACTGAAGCTTCTTATGAGTTTGAAATGTTGATTAACATGTTATTCCATAATCTTTATGAGAGACGTAAAGTTCAGTAGCTAGCTAGCTAAATGGATAGATGGTACTGATAATATTAATAGATGGATGGTAATGGAAGCAGCTATATTAGTCGTTTCTTTATAAGGAAACATTTGGCATTTATTGATCTTTTATTTCGCTCACTGAAGTAGACTGTTCTAGTTCCACGTGCCATGTTTAATGGATGTCAGTTATCAGTTATCTCCCGTTAATTTCCCTCTGAAAGTTCTCCACTGCCTTAACCGGGTATTGAACTCACACTGTTTGGATCCTGTCACTGGATCTAAATAACGCCTTCATCCACTGTACCATGTGTCCTTGAGAAATAAAGGATTCAGTTCGATATTCCAACCACCTGAAGAAGGCCGGAGCGTACAACGCCGGAACGTTGTAATAAATATGGCGACAAAGATGAGGACAATAGTCCGAATAATGTAAATAATGTACATAACACCTCATCTCAGAAATATAAACAGTTACTGAAAGGCCGAAATATTGTAATCAATATGGCCTCAAAAATGAGGACAATAGTCCGAATAATGTAAATAATGTACATAATACCTCATCCCAGAAAGATAGTTACTTTACAAGTCTAATTATTGTCTACTATACTAGAAAGATTTTAAAAGAACTAAATTAATTTGACGGTCATCAACCTCTACAGAAAGAACTAATCTATTATAAAATCCATGGTCTGTCATTAAAAGAAAGGGTATCAGAGAACTAAATACAATAATCTATTTAAGAATTTCTCTGGAAAGGAATAAAAAACAGAAAGAAAGGTTTTAACAAAATAAATGATTGAAACTTTGATGAACTATAGTATGTCAGTGAGTCCATATAAATTTATTAAATAAAAAAAATGATACTCTATTCAGCAATCGAGGATGTGGTTTTAATTAAATATATATTTCTACGGCCAAAGAATTTGATATTTTATAATTAAAGATTTATATTTTTTTCCCAAAATAACAGATCCCAGAAAAAAGCTAATATTAGTATTTGTCTTCATGATAGATACTATAAACTCAAATACAACCAACATATTGCTTATTATATATATATATATATATATATATATATATATATATATATATATATATATATATATATACTAACAGCATGGCCCGGCGTTGCCCGTGCTTGATTCAAAAATCGTACGACTCATACAGCAATCGCTATCATTTGGCTTAAAATATTTTTGCCCTTCCTTGCCTTTAAAGGAGTGCCCTTTGCCGTGCTGATGTTGCTACATGCCTTACTTCTTGCCTATCTCACACTGCGAATTTTTTCTAAGCTCTATACTAAACATTAAATCTGTTACGAAAAAAGAACTAAACAAAATGAACACAAAACGATCAACTTTAAAAAAGGACTCGTAACTGGAAAAACCGAATGAAAAAAGAATGTTAACAACAAATACTTTTTCACACCCAACCCAGTTCTGCGGAATCAGAATCAACGTTGAGTTTAAGCAAGCGAATGTGCCAATTGGAGTAAAGTGCCATGCAGATTTAAATTTTTCCCACTTGTGACGAATGCAGCTATCGATTTTTTTGTATGCTAGCATGCTAGTTAACATTCGTGTCAGTCAGCTGTTGGCTCTCACGCTGGCCAATAGAATCTTCCTGCCTATTCGTGGTAGCCAGCTATTGGCTCTCTCTCTGGCAAGTACAAATGGCCACAAACTACATGAAAACTGCCGTAGAAGCATGAAAAATTCGATTATTTCCACTATCGATGGGAGTTGGGAAATGTAAAGTCGGTCTTGGCCTTCCCGCTAACTTGGAGCATGGGCATGAAACTTTTGGTGCAAATCCGTCGAAAATTGCGGCCGTGAATTCATTACACACACACACACATCCTGCTTTATATATATATATATATATATATATATATATATATATATATATATATATTCTTGTGAAATATAATAGATAATAAATGTCTATTACGTCTGATCATAAGCCGTTCTAATGTTCGCATCGTTGCTTTAATTTCGGTGAAAATAAAGACAAAAATTGTCCAACATTTGGATATTTTTCATTAAGTTGGTCCTTAAAAAATATCCAAATATTGGACAATTTTCGTCTTTATTTTCTCCCAAAATTAAACCAACCATACGAATCTTAGAACGGCTCATTATCAAACATATTAAACATTCCTTGTCTGTTATATTTAATATATATGTTTAAATAATGAGCTGCTACCCCAATACACTATATATATATATATATATATATATATATATATATATATATATATATTTTATATATACATTTTATGAACATGCATAGCTAATTCTGATGGTTGATAAATGTATAATTAAACAGAATGCCATTAATTTCATTAAATGATCGATTTATACGCAGGCACTTAATACCAATGCTTATTAAAACACCTTGATTTATTTTTTAATGCCTAAATGAAATTTAAAAGTAAAGAATTTTCTATAAAGCTTTAAATCATATTGCCCTTTATAATCTCTTCAGGAAAATTGTGTCTTTGCGAATCTTTTAGGAAAACAAAAGAATTCCTCGTAAAGGTTTTCTTTTTAGAGGGTGGGGCGGAAATTGAAATTTATGAAATCAAGATATTATCACTATTACTCCCCACCTCACCCCGACTACTCTCATTTTCAGCACTGCCGCTATGTTGAAAGGGTGTGGATGCGTTTGCACTAGGAATGGCGGGGGTGGACTTTAATAGAATTCTTCAGCTGAAAGCGAAAAAAATGTGTTTCTGGCGATCAAGGAAGCTGAAAAGTTTTAAATAGTGGAGAGGGCGGCTACAGTAGACGTGGGCGCAAAGTGTTGAGTCCACATTCTGGGTTTTTATGGTTAGCCACGATATGTCTTGGGATTGAGTGGTTTCCTGTTGTCTTCTCCCCGGTGGCTTCAGGAGACACGACCTCTAGTGAGCTGGCCGTTGACCCAGAGAGTTCCTCCGCCCTTTCTTAGGTCTTGTTTTTCGTTCTACAGGCTTGCTAACAAGCCATCTTACTCAGAAGAACTTGGAGTGAGGTCGTCGGTTTAGTGGACGACATTTCGACTGTGAAATACTTAACATATATATATATATATATATATATATATATATATATATATATATATATACTCGTGGCCTGACGATTGCGTCCAGCATGAAACAGGCTGTCGCCTCTAAGAGTTGACATCAACGTCCACTTTTATATTTACACACGCTCTATCTCCGATATTGAGCACTTTATATCCCATAAATATAGCACACGTTAAGACTATATTTTCTTCGTTATATATATATATATATATATATATATATATATATATATATGAAAAGTGAATATAAATATAAATAAATATATATATATGTATAATTATTTATATATTATATGCGCGGTAATTTATTAGAAAGCCTCAATATCAGAGATAGAGCTAACATATTTTGTTGGATAGATTGATTTTTTATTTCCAACCCCCCGTCAGCGATCGTCAGTTGACGATCGCCAAAGTATGTTGAACCCAGGGTCACAAACTCACATCTATCCAACCAAATTATATATATATATATATATATATATATATATATATATATATATATAAAATGAAAAGTGAAGTTCAAGTAACATCATGAGAACAGGCTGTTTCATGAACTAGACTCAATCGTCAGTCCCATTGCGTCTAGTATGAAAGCCTTCTCTCAAGTGGTGACTTCAATGTTCACTTTTACATTTATATTTATTTCTCTATCTCTGATATTGATATTTATCCATAAATATATATCTTAAAAACTATATTTCTTCATATATATATATATATATATATAAAAGAAAAAGTTTAAGTTATGCTATATTTATTTATGGATAAAGCGCTTAATATCGGAGATGGAGCATATAAATATAAAAGTGAACACTGAAGTCAACACTCAGAGGTAACAAACTAGATTTACAAATTAAGCTTGCATTTAACATCAGGAAGAGGCAGATGAAATTTCTGGGACACGTAATGAGAAAGGAAGGCCTGAAGAACCTGATACTCACAGGTTGAATAAAGGAGAAGAAAGACAATGGAAAGCAACGCATGACATACGTAGAGGGCTTAAGCAAGTGGATGACAGAAGATCGTCTGGGGGCGGTGGCAAAGTGATAGGGAGAAGTGGCGAGCCATGATCGCAAACGTTCCGAAGGAACACGGCTCCTAAAAAGAAAAAAGTGTCATAATGGAACAATATATAGATGGCTAAAATCATGAGAAAGGAGGAAATAAAACACTAGTTTAATTTTTTCCTTTTTTTAGTAAAATTTATTTTTATCCATTAATTTAATTATTTGTTTGTTCATATCAGATGCCTCGTCTAGTGTAATCCCCAGTGAGGTTCGATCGTTCCCTGAGGGCCCCACTCAGGAATTCATGTAAGCAATTAGAATGTGGGGCTGTAAGATGCAAATAACAACAGTTGATAACGGTCATGGATTGTTGAACAGATAAATAGTATTTATTTTAATATATTTATTGTTTATACGTTATTTATATCGACACAAATATTTAAGTAAATGCTCTGTTTATAATATGAATATTAACAATATTTACCGGCCTAAACATCCGAGAAATTTCATACAAAATATGTGTCCTCCGACAGGGACAGAACTTGTATCCTATCCGGAACCGTCATATAGCCTGAACGTGCTATACCAGTTTAGCTACATATTTTCCATATAGCAATAAAATACATTAAAATAATTTGTCCATTTCGTAGTGTGTGACGTCATTTGTTTACGTTAAAATACGCTTCGAGCAGATATGGACGTTCGACGGAAATTATGGGAAATTGTAGTTTAAAAGCAGTAAAATCGCCTTTGCTAACCAGACGCTCCTCCGTAGCTAAACTGGTATAGCACGTTAGGCTATATGACGATACGTGTGAGATACAGGTTCGATTCCTGTCGGAAGACGCATATTTCTATGAAATTTCTCGAACGTTCAGGCCGGTAAATGTTGTTAATACTGTTAACAGAGCATTTACTTATATATTTGTGTATATATAAATAACGTATAAACAATAAATATGTTAAAATAATTGTCAGACTTTGTCCTTTTCTGGGTGTATAACTGTTATTGTTTTCTCTTGTTTTTAATGAACAGTGACGGACACCTTCCTGAAATTGCGGTCCTGACAAAAGAATCAATTCTGGTAACACCTATGAGCCAGTTCAGATGGAAATTAGATTGATTGAATGATTTGTTTTTTTACGGCTTATCAACCTTTTGCAGGTTATTTAAAGCCAGAGAATATTTTTAGATTGTAAGAATCTTTTTGAGATATTACTGATCTTACTGATATAATCTCTACTATTTAACCCATAGCTGGGAAAGTAGAAGTGGATTCCTATCTTTCCGAAGAGTATTTGCGATTGTGAATATATCGAAGTCGACTACAATTGGAATTCCGCTCTCAGATTTCCAATTCCGAGCCATTATCCATTACACCACCCGCACATCCAAGCTTACAGCACCTGGTGTTCCCAGGCGATCACCCATCTAAGTATTGACCAAGCTCAACGTTACTTAACTTCGATGGGCGTACAAAAACCAGTGTTTCAATGTGATATTGCCGTAAGCCTAAAGGAAACTGAGGATATTCAACATCACACACACACACACACATACATATATATATATATAGGGTGTCCATAAAGTTCGCGTGCACTTTAAAAAATTGATAAATTTATTTGTATTTGCGATAGAAATAATTTGTAAAAAGGTTTAGAAAGAAGTAAATCTATATTTTTTAAGGTTTTATTGAAGTTTAGGTTTATTTAAGTTTCCACATGTCCTCCATCATTAGCAATACAAAGGGTAATATGATTTTGCAGTTCACGGAAAATATTTGCCAACTGATTTACAGTAATGCCTGAAATCACATTAGTTATTTTAGCTATACTTAAAACTAGGTACATTAAACGTTATAACATTTTTTACAGATTATTTCTATCACAAATACAAATAAAGTTATAATTTTTTAAAGTGCACACGAACTTTATGGACACCCTATATATGTGTGTGTGTGTGTGTGTGTGTGTGTGTGTGTGGATGTGAGGATGGTGTAATGAATAGCGACTCGAATTGAGAAATCGGATAAGTGAGTTCGAATTCTACTTGCGCTCACTTCTCCGCCAAATGATGAAACCAACTATTCTATCCTCCCAATCAGCTAAGGATTAAATAGTAAGACAGATTGGGCACGTTTGCTTTGGTTGGAAATCAGTGTAGGAGAAGGAAAATTCTGAATTCAAAACCTGGAGAGGATCGTTTGGAGACTGTGTGGCAAACTCAGCGCCCATTATCTGCATCCAGTTCTGCTCAAGCATTCACCCCTATAATCAAATCGGGCGGTCTGGCTGTTCTGTTCTAAGGACGGACTTGCAAGAATCTCAAGGGTGGAAGACAACAGAAGATTCCATTATATAAGTGACATATACAACTTGATGGCAATTGATTAATAGATCAATATAGACAGAATTTCAAAATTAATGTGTGCTTTTACAATTCCCAGACGCCCATTGAAATGAGTTGACAAAGGACTGAGAGCGTACAAGTTTTGAAAAAAAATGTTACTGATAAAAGTAGTGCCCATAATTATCAGAAGACTGGGAATGTGTCCTAAAGGTAGTGTGCCAGGATATTGAGAAGGCTAAGTGTCAATCGCTACTCAATGATAATTATCAAATAAGAGCATCAATAATAATAATAATAATAAAAATCATGAAAAATTAAAAAATTTTACTTTTAACAGGAATCCATCTTTTGTTTTCGGACAAACAAACCCTTTTTATTTGATGCTATGCAGTCATTAAGAGAAAGGAAGAAAAAAAGAATTTGAAAACTCTGTCAGTCGGCCTTGTCACTGACTTATTCAAAATTCTTTAAAGATATTTTTGATTAATGCTTTTCAGAAATTATTAACTTTGTTTTTGACTTGCGGCTTTCTTCTCTGCCATGTGTCCTTGAAATCTTGAAAGACGTTAAATTATGACAAGAGGAAAGACTAAACATATAAGGGCGAAAGAGTCCTTGAATTTTTCTAGATATTTTTTACTGGTCTAGTCTTGCTTGTCAGGGTCGAAGAGCTCCATCTCATTTGTTGTTATTTTTCTCCAAACTGAAAACATTTCATCTCAAGGATCTTAAAGAAAATTGACATTTCCAGCAAACATAGGACAAAAACCAAACAAAGAATCGAGCTTTTATTAATTTTAATTTATTTTTTTTAAAAAAAAAGAAACAAAGTTCAAATCTTGGAAAGTATTTTGAAGATTGATTGTTTTTTTTTTCTTTCTTATTTCCAAATCAAAAGAGATCTAAAGAACTTTCATTTGCCTTTGTTTCTCACAGGTTTATTACCGCATTTTCCGGCTTACAAGACGCACTTTTTTCCTTAAATTCTAAAGAAATCTAACCTAGTTATATAGACATAGATGAATTGGGGTCAAATACAGATCAAATATGTATCGGAATCCGACACAATGACTTGATAACGAAAAAATGCTTAAAAATAATTTAACTATTGTATCGAGCACTTTAACCCATAAATATATATATATATATATATATATATATATATATATATATATATATATATATATAAATATACATATATGTCATGAAATTAATTAATGTTCGACAATTATTTTAATATATTTTGCGTTTATACGTTATTTTTAAAGATACAAATATTTAAGTAAATGTACTGTATATAAACAGCATTAACTAAATTTACCGGCTTGAATGCCTGGCAAATTTCATAACAAATACGTGCCCTCCGACAGGAATCGAACCTGTATCCTTCACGGAACCATTATTGGGCCTGACGTGCAATACCATTTAGTTACAAAGGAAGCGTCTACTTAGACAAGTCAAATTACTCTTTTCAAACAACAAACTTTCCCATACGATAGCCTAAACGTAAACAAATGGCAACATATATTATGAAATGGATTAAGTCCGACAATTATTTTAATATATTTTTCGTTTATAAGTTATTTTTATAGATATCATTTATTTAAGTAAATGCACAGTTTTTTTTAATTAAAAAGTATTAATTACATTTACCCGCCTGCACGTTCGAGAAAGTTCGTAGAAAATACGTGTTCCTTATAAATACAATCGAATCTGTAACCCTATAATAACTACCGTCATTTGATCTGATGTTTTCCAACCATTGAATAAAAGATACGCGTCATTTAATTTATATATATGATATATATATATATATATATATATATATATATATATATTGTATTTCAACTAATAAATAAACATACATATATCTATAATTAACTGTACACAGATGCATAATAATTAAATATGCATAGAAAACAGAAAAAAAATGATTTAATAGAAATAAATCCCATTTATTCATTTAGTTAGGTTTAGTCTAAAAAATACAAACAGAACATTCTGTAACTGATATTCGTGCAAGAAGGTTTGCATCATGGCAAGAGGTAAAGAACTGACAAATTCACAAAAATAACTGATTAAGTTCTGAAGGTAAAAGTTACAGGAGAATCTCAGACAACCTGAATATTCCATTGACTACCATTAGTTCCTTCATTGCAATGTATAAATACTCAAAACTGTTGGAAAGCAAAGAAGAACAGGTGCTCCACGGAAACCTTTTCAACTTTTTCGAGGACATTAATGCGTCAAGTTAAACAAAATCTAATGCTTACTCGTCAGGAGTTGCAGGATGATTTGTTTTCATCGGAAATCTGTGTCACTAAACGTAATAATCTAAAAATCACGCTCGTCTCGGAAAACTCCACTGCTATTGAAAATACACAGAGATGCCGGGTTGAAATTCGTTCATGAAAATAAGGATAAGGAAAAATCTTATTGCGAAAGAGGTTTATGGACAGACGAAACCAAAATTGAGTTGTTTGGACGTAATTCTAGAAATCATCTATGTAGGAAAGATGGCAATGTCTTAAAAAAAAAAAAAAGAACACAGTTCCAACAGTGAAATTTGGTGGTGGCAGCATTATGGTTTGGGGATGGGTTTTTTTGTTCTGCAAAAGGTACTTGCAACATATCAGTAAGAGATGGTAGAATGAATGCTGCAGGATATCAAAATATTTTGGAAGCAAATTAAATGATTTCGGTTGAAAATCTTGAACCTTCTCCTGATTGGATCTTCCCACAAGATCATAATCCTAATCATACTGCAAAATCTACTAAGAAAAGGCTTGCTAAAAATAATGTAAATATCCTGAAATGGTCAAGTCAGTTCCCAGATTTAAACCCAACCGAGAATCTGTGGCGTTATTTGAAAATTCAAATCCAATCGAGAGCTCCAACAAAAATCCCGGATTTGAAGATCATATGTGAGGAAGATTGGAGCAAAATACCAACTAAAATTTGCAAATCATGAATTGAGAACTACAAGAAGAGGTTTAGTTGCTGTACAAATGAATAATGGCTTTTCAACAAAGTATTAAATGAAGATTATGTATTCTTTGTTGTATTCTACGAATTCTTTTTTCATCCATTAAAATGGATAAATGGGATTTATTTCTATTAAATCAAATTATTTTCTATGCATATTTGGCTATTATACATTTGTGTACAGTTAATTATATGAGAGGTATGTTTATTCATTAATTGGAAATACAATAAATTAAAAATTGTAATTGTACGAATATTTGTTTCCTCCCACCGTCTATTTATATATATATATATATATATATATATATATATATATATATATATATATATATAACGAGAGACAGTGACACATAGAGAAAAACAGAGAGACAAATAGAAAGACACAGGGTTTTATGGAGAGACAGATAGAGACGGACAGTTTTACAGTGAACAGACAGACAGAGAGTTTTACATAGATAGATAGATAGATAGATAGATAGATAGATAGATAGATAGATAGATATGAACAAGCTAAGATAGATAGATGGATAGATAGATATGAACATACTTACATAGGTGGATAGTAATAAGTGGATCAATAAGTTTGTAGCCTAACATATAGTTCTTAGCTGAATGTTGAACTCAAATTTTCACTAAATAATATCCGGTCTATGTAATTAATATTAAAGAGATTATGTTAAAAATAAATATTTCTTTGTAAAATAAATACAATATGTGGAATATTTGTTTGGTTAAATTCTTTTTTTTCCTTTTTGAGTCAAAATTTGCTTTAAATATCCAGCGATAAAAAAACAACGAGCGTAAAAAGTCCAATGAAATTTCTTTGCATCGATTAAAAGTATTTTGAATAATTTAAGAGTAATTGGCAAGAAAAGAATTTTAATAAATGAATTCAAAATGAATTGATTAGAAACAAAACAAAATCTGATATTTGGAGGCCGATATTAATCATGTTCAACCGAATAACGTCGTTTTCATGATCTTCTTTCCTTTGTGAAGAAGAATTTTGCATAATTAAAGATCTGCGTCCTTGATGGTCTGAGTACTTTCTGCAGGTCCACCATCTTTGACAATCATGGACACTGATGAGACACCAAGAAGCATCACTTGACGGAATATACACAAGGATGTTACGAGTTACACTGGACATCAACTGGAAGAAACACCCAACAAAGAAACCATGGACACCTTCCTCCTATCTCAGTTTCGCTAAGCGAGAGAAGGCTTCGGCTAGCTGGTCACAACTGGAGAATTGAGAACTTGTGACTGATACCCTCCTATGGAACCCATTGCACGGCAAAAGATCAGTTAGAAGACCTAATCACACCTACTTTGACCAACTTGTAGATAACACTGGATACCATCTTGTGAGTCTGTCAACCGCGATGTCTGGGAACAAGTCAGAAGAATCCGATAAAAATTTTCGACCATATATATATATATAGTTAAATAACGAAAATCTTGGCTCCATTTGTTATAATTTATTTCACCAGAGAATTTTATTTTTCTCTGGATCTTCAGACTCCACTTTCAAAGGTGAAATGAAAAAATGAATTTAAAATTTACACTTTTAAAGGGCAGTATTAAGCTTATATAAGGTGCCATAGAGGGTGGTGATGAATAGTGTGAGAGACATGGTCGAGTTTATAGAGGAAAGTGAGAGTTTTAAAATTTATTTTTATTTTTATTACAATACTTAATATTTAGGAGGAGGGGGTAAGAAACAGACATTCACCTATTTAATCGGTCAACTCAACGGCAATGATATCGGAAAAAGGAAAAAAGAAAAAAAAGAGGAAAAGGAAAAAAGCGTGAAGTAAAGGGATAAGAGATAAGAGATGTATATATATATATATATATATATATATATATATATATATATATATATAATGATCTACAAGTGGTTGAATGCAGGTGCGAAGTCAGAACCACAACTGAACCGTATTATCATCACTTGAAGGTAAGATGAACAGACATGAGTTCATAACTGTCATAACTTCCTTCAAAGTGGCTAAACAATTATTTCACAAGTACCTGTTTGAAATGGTGCCTTTTCAACTCATTACATATTAGAAAAGGTGATTTTTTTTAATAAGCATTTCACCCCAAGCAAGGCTGGAAGCTACTAGCACGCAAAGGGTTACATAGAATTTGGAGCGAGAGCAAATAGGAGTGATAGAGGAAAGGATGAAGAGAAGGATAGTGGATAGATCAAGGCAACAGGATATGCCTATTGACATTACATTTGAATAGTTGGAGATTATAGCTATCAGGGAAACAGGAATAGGGAAGGGATTTCCACGGGCGAGAGGTGCGAAATATGAAGCTATTGGAGTAGAAGAGACGGCTACATTTAACAGTTTCAACAGTGAAAGGGTGAGAGCGGGAAGCCAGCCCCGTAGGACGCTTGAATTCATGAAGTCTGGGAACAAACAAAAGCAGCTCATCGGAGCAATTAACATGAAAGTATTTGTAAACAAAACAGAGAGAGAGCGACTGCAGACGAGATGCCAGATCAGGGCCAATTACATTGCATATCCGTCTCTGGATGTTATTAAGAACCCCGAGGCAAACAGTAGGGGCTCCAGACCATTCATGTTCCTAAAGTAAATTTTGTGGCGTTTTTTTTTTCCCGATTTACCCAGGCTCTTCTCTTTTGAATTTTACCCTTTTATCAGGTAAATTCTTGAATCAGGATCAAATGTCTAAGTCTAGATGTATGTCTTCTAGTTCTTATTTAGTACTGATCAGTTAATGTTCGTCCCATTTCAACTAAGTCCAAGAACACAATGCCCGGCCCAGGAATTGAACTCACAATTACTATTTGACCAAATTCACGAATCAACGCTTTCATTCAATACGTTATTATCATGGGGATTTAAGAAAATGGGTTCAGTTCTAAATTCCCCGAACGTTACTCAGATCGACTAAAACCAGATGAAGGTCGGAGGTTAAAACGGCCGAAACGTTGTGACAATAACAAAGAAGAGGACAATAGACCGCTTGTTAATAAAGTAAATGATAGATAGATATGAAAGATAGATATGAACAGACTTAGATAGATAGATAGATAGATAGATAGATAGATAGATAGATAGATAGATAGATAGATGAACAAGCTGAGATAGATAGATAGATAGATAGATGAACAAGCTGAGATAGATAGATAGATAGATAGATAGATAGATAGATAGATAGATAGATAGATATGAATAGGATGAGATAGATAGATAGATATGAATAGGATGAGATAGATAGATAGATAGATAGATAGATAGATAGATAGATAAGATGATAGATAGATAGATGAATGAGATAGATAGATAAATAGATATGAATAGATGATAGATAGATAGATAGATAGATAGATAGATAATAGATGAACAAGATGAGATAGATAGATAGACATACAGATAGATATATAGATAGATAGATGAATAAGATAGATAGATAGATAGATATATAGATAGATATATAGATAGATAGATATATGATATTAGTTAGATAGATATATGAATAGATTTAGATAGATAGATAGATAGATAGATAGATAGATAGATAGAAAGAAATGAATTAATCTCGACTAAAATAGATATACGGAGATATCAGATATGCCAGCAACATTGACGGGGCACTGCCGATACATCTAGTCATACCTACATAGTCATACCTACATAATCAGTTTATCTATCAATGAACCAAGACATATATGGAATGAAACGAAGACAAGAATGAATGAAAATCCTAAGAAGGCAATGACTGTGGAGGAGAGGAGAGTTATGTTGTTTACAACAGTAAACATTAGCCAACCACAAGCTCCATTAGACTGTCGCATGTGATCAAGAAGGAATGTAGTGTATGGAGCTGGCTGATGAGAATTTCTTATACCTTACGAAACCATATTTTCCCTTTTTTTTCTCTTCAGTTCTTCCCATTAGCATAGATCTTTTTTCTTCTTTATTTTCACTGCTGACAAACCTCTCGATTGGTGCTAGTGGGCTTTTAACAACAAACAGCACAATGAAATTGAAATAGGATTGAACATTATGATGAATATGAAGGGCTGGTGCCGAACCCCCGACCAGAGAGCCCAAGACTGATTGGGAGCTCCGGGGGCAATGATTTGTGACCCTCGTTATTTTATCAACAATTGCTTCTTTTTTGCCTAACTACACCTATATACGTGACCAATTAAACTAAGCACAACTGAATATTTTAGGAGGAAAAAAAAATCACGAATTTTGACTTCATTCTGGGATGTTTTTTTTTAATTTTTTTTTTTCGACCAAATCCGTTAAATTGTTTTGCTCATGTAAAATTATGAAAAAGCAAGATAAAAAATTAACTTTTTTTTTAGCCATAATGTTAAATGTGTTAAAATTATTCAACTTCTTTAACGAGAAAAATCTCGGGTTGATGTTAAGATTATCGCAAAACATTGTTGATTTCTTTAAGATGGAATAATCTTTTACGACATGTCTTTAATTTCAATTTAGATACATTGTATTTATTTTCAATTTTTTTAGTTGAATTGTTCACCTTTATTACATATGATCATTATTGTACATAATTAGGTTATAATAACATTTGTATTTGATATAAATACTACCTTATGAAAATTGAGATGTAGTAGAATGGGTTGGGGGCCTGTATCATAAATTCAAGAAGTGCACGATACACTTGCACTGGCCCTATATATATATATATATATATATATATATATATATATATATATATATATATATATATATATACGTTTTGCCAGTTTGGTGACTGGAAGGATAATTCCGAGCAAGATATAAATTATTATAATTAGATTATCAATATATATATATATATATATATATATATATATATATATATAAATTTGAACATTGAAGTCAAGAGTCAGAGGCGACAGACTGTCTTATGCTAAACGCAATCATGTGAACTGAATGATTGTGTTTAGCATGAAACAGTCTGTCGCCTCGCCCAATATATATATATATATATATATATATATATATATATATATATATATATATATATATATATATATATATATATCGACTCTCCCGTCGAATTCGACGTATAAGGGTCAAGCAGATCAGTTCCTAGGAAACTGACAGCCCGACAACAGCACATGAGATTTGATTATAGTGGTAATGGTTTCGTGCAGGACCATCCACACTTTTTGAAGGCCCGAATACAGAGACCTGGTGCACTAAGTGCCACAAGGTCACCAAACGACCCTCCGCAGGTTTTGGATTCAGAGTTGTCCTTCTCCTAATAATGCTCAATATCCGGGATAGAGCATGTGTAAAGTGAACATAGGAGTCAACACTTTGAGGTAGGTGGCCTGACGATTGCATCTAGCATGAAACAGACTGTCGACTCTAAGTATTGACATATATATATATATATATATATTGTTGTGTATGATACACCTAATTTACATAAGCGGACTACCGACCATATAAATATGGGTTGGTACCGGAAGACGGGGAAGATAGTAGAGATTAAGAAATTGAATCCAGAGACTCTGCCCGACTGCGATTTAGTCAACCCATTATGCAGGAACAGTCTTCCCAAGAATATACCAAACTAACTGTAAATATTGTGTACCTATTCTTTGTTTCAATACATTTTGTTAACGTACATTTTGTGTTGTATTATTCCATGCTTATTTAAGCTTCAACAAATATATATATATATATATATATATATATATATATATATATATATATATATATATATATAGTGTTAAATATACACATACATATGCAAAATATATAAATATATATACATACATGCAGTAGGTCTGATGAATTGGATCGTATTTACGATTCCAATGGAATAAATTATGACCATGGAATATTAGTGTTTAAGCCTTTTTAATATATATATATATAGAGAGAGAGAGCTGAGTAATGGATAGCGGTTCGGACTGAGGAATCGAAGAGCCGAGTTCGAATTCCAGTCGAATCCATTACATTCACTTACGTGCCAATACCCTTAAGAAAGGTGTGAATTCTCTTCTTCTCTCCCCAGCTATGGGCAAATAACAGGACAGACTGGGTTCTATAGCCTTGGATGGAAACTGGTCTACCGCAGAAAGAAATGGCAACCTACTGCCTTGTCAGTCCTGTATCGAAAGATACACGATCACCTATGCGTGTATCACGCATAGCACATGACTGGAGACAAAAATAGACAATGCAACATTAATAAGTTTTTGTTTTAATCTCCTATAATAAATAATACAAAGATATACCCTTTTTAAAAATTAAATGCTAGGGACAGTAGAATTATACTCCATTTATTCTTATCTCATACTCGGATAATACATTTAATATAATTTTTATTTTTGATAAATAGTAATAATAATAAATGTTTTTCAGCTAAATAGCAATGTGTGAATAATGGAAGCAAAAAGAACATATTTGAGTGATTGATATGTTTATTATTTGTCTATATCTCTGAAATGAGGTATTAGGATTACTAGCATTATTTGCACTGGAGAGATGAGTTAAAGGGAAATAACTGAGACATTCAGAAGAGGTATGTCACGTGGAACTAGAACAATCTACCCCGGTGGACGAAATAAAGGGTTCGATTCGAAATTACAATCACCTGTACGGTGCATACATGTGTCTAGGAGTAAAGTGTCGCTGACGACACTGTAGTTTGAACATAGATCGCCAGAGAGCAAACACAGATGATCCCATTTTGAACAAGTAGATCACATGATAGTAAAGGAAATATGTATATATGGGAATTAGTGTGACGTCTAAGTGATCAGCATCTCTATTCATTTCTATTTTATTATTTCCTTGGGGTTTTAGATTTTTAAATTGTTATTTTATTCCCCTCTTCCCACAGACAATGAATTGTATATTTGGGGACTAGTTAGGACTTCATGGAGTTTCTGAGGCATATTGGTGTATGAGGTAAGAATGACAAGTAAGAATGAGTTGTTTTGGTGAAAGGAATATTGTTTGTATGCTTGGGTCAGTGTTTGTGGCTAGCTAAATTTAATGTTAAGACAGAAGACCATCATTTTCCCCATTCCCCCCTTTTGGCCTTAAATTTGTATTTTTCACAATAAATATTATCACCATTTCTACATTATCCCCATTATCATTTTCCTCTATACTATCCTCCTATTATTATACGGATCACCATTTCTATACTATCCTCTTATTATACGGATCACCATTTCTATACTATCCTCTATTATTATACGGATCACCATTTCATATTATCCATCATTATTATACGGATCACCATTTCTATACTATCCTCTATTAGTATACGGATCACCATTTCTATACTATCCTCTATTATTATACGGATCATTTCTATACTATCCTCCACCATTTCTATACTATCCTCTATTATTATACGGATCACCATTTCTATACTATCCTCTATTATTATACGGATCACCATTTCTATACTATCTCTATTATTATACGGATCACCATTTCTATACTATCCTCTATTATTATTCATTTCTATACACCATTTCCATTTCTATTTCTATACTATCCTACTATCCTCACCATTTCTATTATCCTCTATTATTATACGGATCACCATTTCTATACTATCCATTTTATACTATTTCTATACTATCCTCTATTATTATTATTTCTATACGGATTATTATACGGATCACCATTTCTATACTATCCTCTATTATTATACGGATCACCATTTCTATACTATCCTCTATTATTATACGGATCTATACTATCCTCTATTATCTACGGATCACCATTTCTATACTATCCTCTATTATTATACGGATCACCATTTCTATACTATCCTCTATTATTATACGGATCACCATTTCTATACTATCCTCTATTATTATACGGATCACCATTTCTATACTATCCTCTATTATTATACGGATCACCATTTCATTTCCTCTATTATTATCCTCTATTCCTCTATTATTACGGATCACACCTCTATTATTTCTATACTATCCTATTATTATACGGATCATTTCTATACTATCCTATTATACGGATCACCATTTCTATACTATCCTCTACCATTTATACTACTATCCTCTTTCTATATCCTCTATTATTATACGGATCACCATTTCTATACTATCCTCTATTATTATACGGATCACCATTTCTATACTATCCTCTATTATTATACGGATATTTTTATACTATCCTCTATTATTATACGGATCACCATTTCTATACTATCCTCTATTATTATAATGGATCACCATTTCTATACTATTATTATACGGATCACCATTACTATCTATTATTATAAAGATCACCATTTCTACTATCCTCTATTATTATACGGATCACCATTTCTATACTATCTCTATTGTTATACTATTATTATACGGATCACCATTTCTATACTATCCTTATTATTATACGGATCACC